GGTTTTCCTCACATCTAAACTGAATCTTTCTTGCTGTCATTTAGGAGCACTATTTCTTGCTCTGTGCATGATGAAGTGCAAATTGTTCCTTTCCTCTCTGCAGCAGTCTTTTATGTTTTTAAAGGCTAGTGTCAGGTGCCTCTACAACCTTATCTCCCCTGGATTTTAAATAACCATTTCTTTTTTTTTTCTTGGTTTTGATGTTTTCTAAACCTTTGATCATTCACTGGATTGTGCCCAACTGATCAATATGTTTCATGAATCAAGGTGCCTAAAATTGAGCAATGATCTTAAGATACAGCTACACTGCTGTTTGTACATACTTTCTCTCTGTTTATGTGCCCTTTCCAAAAATGTCAATGTTTGAGTCATAGTCATGTTGTAATCCCTTTTACCAGAAGGACTTTTTCTGTATCACTGCTGCCAAATGAGATATTTCATAGCTTGTAGTTATGCTACGGACTGCTCATATCAAAATAGAAATATTTATGTTTGTCTTTACTAAATTTAATCTTATTTTTTCAGGCCTTTTGTCTAGCTTATCAAGATCCAGTTCAATTCTAGTCCATCAACCCATTCTCTTGAAGTTTCATTTTGCTTAACTGCAGCAGCCAGTACTAGAGTCAGTAGGCATTTGTAGAAGTTAAATACATATGTTTTTCTATTTGATAGTGATCTCAGTTACACGTTTTCTAACCAGCTTCTGAGAGTTGTATCTAGAGCACTTGTTCCCAGGTTGTTTACAAGAAATAGCACTGTATTAACACACGGTAATGGTAAGGGACATCTGTTGCATCTTCCCTTCTCACGAGTCCTATTTCTCTATTACAGCAAGTAATCAAATTTCCTTGATATTGTTTGTTCTCAATAAATCTTTCATTGACTGTTAAACATCTTTTTTTTTTTTCTTGGCACTTGTTTGTTCCTACAATTTTCCTGAAAAATTAAAGTTATATATTTATAATTCAGTTTTCACAGACCATACTTGGCTCCAAGGAAGCCTTATTTTGTTTCTCATTAGTCATCCAGTATCACTATATTCCAATAACTCTTTAGAGTAACCACTACAGTATATTGCTTAGGTCACCTCTTTAAATTATAGAGGATAAGGGTTATTGTATCAAATAATTTTAAAGTCCCTAACTTTCATAGGTGTTCAAAAACCCTTTCCTTATTATAGGTTAAAATACTATCTTTTTTGTCATTAACAGAAGTTGCATCAGTCACCCAAATGCAGATCACACTCATTCTTTGAAAATGTTGAGACAAGGAATGTCATCCATCAGTTCACATTCTTTATGTCATTTACAAATAAATTTCCATCTTTCTTTAACTGTAGCATGACATTTTCCTGCAGCATATATTACATTTCCCACATAATTTTCCCTTATCACTTACATTGCCCCTCTTGTTACTTTTTATGTCCCCTACTAGCTTGGTCTTTTTAGTGCCTTGTACCTCCTGATTTTGTTCCTTTGTGTTATTACTCTGTCATCTTCCCCTTGAATCTGACTTAATTTCTGCTTTCTGTGAACTTCCCACTTAAGTCTTGAGGTCCAAGAAGAACCCATTGTTTAGCCAGGCTGATATCCTATTAGACTCCTATACTTCCTTTATAATAAATGGTGTTTCTGCTTCTGCTTCTTTGTTTGCCTATATCTTATGTCTTAAATTTGCTCTCTATGATATCCTAAATGCTGAATATGTAAGACAAAAGAATTCTGTCTTGGAAATGTCACAGCTTACAGAAGTAAAAAATACTTTATGAGAACATCCATAATATGCTCTTGTTCCTGCTGAATGAATATTAGTGACAGTCAAGGAAAATCATGTCATGAAAGCACCATTTTCAGTTCTTGTACTTACTGGATCAGTCATAAAATTCTTTACCTTGATGATAAAACTTTAATATTATAGCCCAAGTCATTGATATAAGCAATATATATAAATATTTATAAACTGAAAAAAAAAACTTAAGCCCCATAAATGCAACTTTAAAATGCCTTTCTAAAAGTTCTGTTTTCCTTGACAGAATTTGTAACATCTTCTTGAAATGGCATATACATTGCTACTATCCCATAAATATTAAATACAATTCTTGTTCAGAGAATCGAATTGTACAGCTATGAATATCATTACAGTGGTACCTCAGTGTGAATCAGGTGCCACTTAGGAAGGCACTGAGTCAGTTATGAGACCCATACCACAGGTTTAATACATTTGGAATTCAGGGTCTTCTCTTGAATATATTCAGATAGCTCAGTGGCAAAGCTCTGTCTGTTGGATTCTGCGGATAAATTTATTAAATTTTAAATAATTAATCTATGTTACAGACAACAAGAATTAAGAATTGGTAACTTTAAGGAAATGTTCTGGATATCCCTATAGCTAATAAAACATTTGATTTTTATTTTGAAGTTCTGACTCTAGGAGCTCATAAAGGAACATTTCAATGGCATGCTAAATGCATTACAAGAAATAAGACATAAATACTGTTGGATTCTCAGATTCTTCAGCTATTCTCTTAGCATATTGCATTTTGGCATTTAAAGGCTGCATGACCAGAATCTAAATAACTTTAACTAAAACAAGATGTCTGATAAAACCAAGTTTAGAAAGGTATCAAAAATTGGTTTTAGTGCTGTCCTTAAAAGGAGGCAATAATCTGTACCAGATGTGGTCATCTCAAGTAGCTCTCAATATACTTACCTTTAATTCTAGCAAATTAAAAGTAATACTATATGCTTTAATATAGTGAGCCCTATATAGTGAGCCTTGATAAAGCAGGGCTCTTGCTTGCATCTCCTTCCATCTGTTGTTAAAATTATAGAGAATAAATTAATAAGCAACTAGTCACAAAACCTAGGTCTTGGCTGAAAAACAGATTTGCTGAAGAAGGTGTTCAGGAGAGATTTACTTTCAGCTGTATGGTTTAAACAAATAGGAGGAAAGACTTAAAAATTCCATGTCATGTGATATTTGCTTGCCTTTGAACTTAGAGTGTAACTCCCAAAGGATTGAAATATTTCTCATTTCTGATAAGCAGGGGTGGGTTTAGGAAGGCAGGGCAGCAGGCTGCTATTCACCAATGGTTCAGATAAGGAGCCAGCCGCTGGTGAGTTAGACTGAAAGACCCAGGGCTTGTGCCAACTTGTACCAGAGAAACCTAAGATACATAGACCCAATATATGACATAAAACCAAAAATAAGCTGTGGAAGACCAGGGGCATTCACAATGCCCTGTAAGGTAGGTGCTGCTTACCTAGAAGAGAACTAGAAGCAAATCCAGGGAAAAAATAATTGCAGTTGCCGGAGAAAGTCTGAGTTAAATCAAGTTTGAGTTTAGGCCCTCCAAAGTTGCTGTCCTTACAGAAGTCACTCTGCAAGTCTTTGCAAATCAAAAGTTGAGCCGAGGAATAATTAGTCACATGCTGTTGCCACCATATTCAATGTGCAAAAGTAAGCAACTCAGAGCACAGGAAGAATATATGTAGGAGATTTCATGTGTCTAGATTTCACAGAACTGGTAAAATTTGAAATAATCTTTAATAGAAAAAAGAACTTAGTGTTGGAAACATTTATAGGCTGTATTCAGCTAAAGGAAAGGTAAGTACAGGCCATTTCTTTTCAGAACTGTACAAATCACTTGGCTGCTGCAAGGAAATTCAGTTATGCACAAAGTATGATCATAACTGCATTTCAACATTTCCCTACATTTCTAAGGTAAAAAGAAGGTCTAATTTTTTTATAGGCTGTATTCAGCTAAAGGAAAGGTAAGTACAGGCCATTTCTTTTCAGAACTGTACAAATCACTTGGCTGCTGCAAGGAAATTCAGTTATGCACAAAGTATGATTGTAACTGCATTTCAACATTTCCCTACTGTAAGGTAAAAAGAAAGGTCTGATTTGCAGGTAAGATGCCAGAGGTTGTGATTAATCCAGTTGTTGTGAAATAGTAAAAGGTCAAGACATTTCTTCAATTTCATTTAGTTATAATTCTCACTGCCTCAATTTCACATAAAAGAAATCTGTTCTCCTTTCTATTACCTATTACACAGCACTTGCCACACAAGTCACCCCAAATTGCTCCATCACCACAAGTTCAGATGTGCTGCACTCTTGAGACAGAGCAGACACGAGTCTGAGGCTGCTTCCTGGGTTGTGTTGCATGACTGATGGGTGATTTGTCCAAGGTCCCACTGAGACTCAAATCACTGCAGAGCTTCGGTGTCCTCTCCCACACCCTGACTGCTCTGCTGCCTTAATATTTAGCTTTTTAAAATGTTTCTTATTTTAAAATGTTCCTTATTTAAAATGTTCCAGCCAGAATTTCAGAAAATCCAAGATTCCTGACGTGCATTTGTTACTGATATTCTTTTACTAATGATGTTTTTTCTTGGGCATTTCTATACTGCTTTTATTCTAGTATTTGCCATACAACATGGAAATATCCAGCCTCGTATTTCCCTCAGCACGAACATAAGAATAATTTATTTAATCAGAGAGAATATGCAAACATATGTTCTTTTTAAGGTGGGGACAGAAAAGAAAAGATTGAGTAAAGAGAGGAATTTCAATATCAAGAAGTGCAGCTGCTTTCTGACCATGGCTAATCTGTTATTCAGAAAAGGAGCTTTTTTGCAGGTTGACAGCACTGGGACACAAATAAAAGAAGACATTTTAGAAGTAAATGACAGGAAGATCTTAAACTGTGGTAGTCTGCCACTTGGATTTTTAACAGCAGAAGGAAGCAAGTTATACAGATTAGAATTAGGCAAGAAATTGGTGGCACTGCTAGAAGACATCTTGGATTGCATCACTGCTACTTAAGCCTGGCTGACAACAGAATCTTCACTGAACAAGAGGTCTTAACTTTAAGGAAATTACAGTGTTTAACAGCCACAGACAACCTGCCCAGATCACTTAAGTGAAATACCAGTGAAGGGCATTGACAGAGAAAAGTGTTTGAGTACCTAGTAATTAAATCAGTTAATACTCACCATTTATTTGCAGAATCAAATAGGACGCTAATGCAGAGAGGTAGAAGCCTAGGCAATTTTTTCTCCTTTGTGACCAAAGAAAGAAAGAAAGAAAGGTTTGTCATAAAAAACCCTTCAACTTTCTTGGTAGAAATAGTAATCACTAGGACCTTTTCCAACTTATTGAGTACCATACTTGAATATCTTACTTTATTCTGTGTTGCTGACCAATCTTGCTTTTATAATAGAGGACTCCTCAGATGATGATCCTCAATATCAAGTAGATCAAGAAAAATACCATAGAGCCAGAAGAAATTTTTGGAACATCTAGATTTATCAAGATCGCTCCAATCTAGTTGAGGCTTAAGGTCTTTCCTATAAGGTCTTTCCTTTCCTTTTCTCCTTCTCACTGAGTTGAAGACATTATGTGCACTACCATCCTGCATCTTCCCATATTTGAAGCAGTGTCTCTATATAGAACACCCAGTGTAGGACTGACTTTTGAAGAAAATTATCCAAACCCTCTTGCTGAACGTGGCCTGTCTTTGTTCTGGAATTCAGGCCAAGGCCCTGTACTGGACAGTATATCCCTTGATCCTTTACCAAGATCCATTTTATATAGCACTGACAAAACATATCAAAAAACAACTACATTTTACATACTACTGTATGTAAAAACAATTACATTTTTTCTACCTTAAACCTCTCTCCTTTGATCAGTGATGTTCCATACGTAAGTTTCAATTTATTCACTGTATGTAAAAACAATTACATTTTTTCTACCTTAAACCTCTCTCCTTTGATCAGTGAAACGTAAGTTTCAATTTATTTATAGCCAGCCTATTCTTTTTAGATTTATCATGTTCTATCTCAAATAACTTCAAAGCAAAAATATTTTAAGACCTCATTTTTTCTATCATAAAGAATGAAAAGCCAAGCTATTAAGCCTATCTGCAGGTTTGGTTATTTATGTCTGGATTATAACTATGTTCATGTTCGATTTCATCAACTCTACATTCACATATAAGCAAACCTTCTTTTTCCAAAATCTCTCATTTCTGAAAATGAAAGGCAAAGAATTGGTTGAGATTTTCTAATCCCTTTAATAGTTTTATATCACAAAAACTTCTCTCTAAAATTGTCATTGAGACAAATAATTTAGAGAAAGAAATAATTTTAAAAATGTCTTAATACATGGGGAAGTATTATTTTTTTTTTAAGAAAAAAATACCCCAACAAAGAAAACTTTTAAAACCTGGGTATTTAGATGGATAGACAAGTAATATTTTTGGTTGGTGCAATACTTAGTAAGTAACGTGTCCTTTTGGTTCAGCCAATTAACTAGAAAATTTGAAATCTGTTGGGAAATAAAAGAGATGAAGCTATATAAATCAACAGTGAAAGACAAACCTTTTAAATTTTGTTATTGAGATAACACAGTACTTGAATCTGAAACCCTGTTATTGAATTTGCTATTGAAGTCTTGGTATTAATTAACCTTCAGTTATTGTTGGTCCTTTAGTGCATTGTGAAAAACAGGAGAATATTGGTTTTGTCTTACTCAATTTTCAATAATGAATATTTACACAGAGGGCAATAATTTATGTTTTTCTGGTCCTCCCCTAATTAGTATTTGCATTTAGAGCTCATGTCATTGTAGGATATTCTTCACAAGGTAGGATATTTTCAGGCTGTTATTCAGAAGCATATTAATTATGAACATCTATGTTTGCATAAAATTGTCTGATAGCCTTGTGATAAATGCTGAGTTTTTCCTGAAAATCTACCTCCTCTAAGGTCACCTAGTTCACTTCAAATCTTTAGAAATAGAAAGGATATGGCATGCTATTGAAAAGCAGTGATAAAACCTGTGTGTATCCAAAGGATTTGATTTAGAGATCTTTGTGAAATGGTCACGAACAGGGTTCTTAGCCTACGGTTTGGGGATGTGTCAGCATTTCCTATCCAATGAATGTATAAGCAGGAGCATACAGGGAAGTCAGCAGCAAAAGGAATAGCCAGGGAGAGACACGGAATGATTTATCATATGCTGATGATACAGGCTGGCTGGAAGTCGTGTAACGCCAGCAGGCCATGGTGCACTTGTACTGCAGTGACTGAGAAACAGCTGAGATGGGACTGCAGCTAGAGCTGTCATGGAAAACATTGGTGTGACTCTGGAATGTGAAACCAGGGAATTCTCTGGAGGAGGCAGCAGAGAATTAAAAGATCCTCCTTTTGAGTTTGTTGCTAGCTGGTTTACAAGCTTTTGATTTTAACAGTTAGATAGGAACCCAAGGAATTTTTCTTGCCTGATCTTGAGTGTTGTGGTAAAAGAATTGTTCTTTTATCCCCTTAGGATTACACTAGTGAAATGAAGCACAAATGAGACTTTACCTTAAGTCTAGGCAGAATCTAACATTGATTTTCTTGTGACTTTCCACATTTTCAAAGATGCTGAATGAAACTAACAAAACAGCAAATAAACAAAACGTTTTAAAAGGCCTGGGCCTCATTAAGAACAGATATGTCTGCTCATACTGTAGTTAGAGTCTGAAATGCATGCTGTAGCATGCCAGGACCAATTTCCTTAGAATGTGCAGTATATGATTGCTGATTCTGACCTCTACATAAAGCATACATCTGTTAATGGCTGTGCCTATCTCACATGCTGAGATATACTGTGCCTCCCAGTGCATTCATTCCCAAGATTTTTTTCAATGAATACTGGAACAGAGTGTGTGATAGCTGGTTCAGGTGGACAGAGGATGGAAAAAGGAAGAAAAAATTAGAACGTCCTTAATTAGTTCACTGCTAGCTAGCATGTTCCCATTGACAGCACAGGTGCAGTAGAGGAATATCCATCCATCATGCATTGCTAAAATCTGTATCATTTTATCACAGTTAGATCTTGATTTTTACCTTCCATAAACTAAACTGTGCTAGAAAAAGAGTGAATACTCTTCAACAGTGTTTCTCATTTGTGCTGACATAGAAATCTACGTATTTGGAGGATCATTGAGTACTGTGGGACAGTTATACGAGAATCATTGGAAGTATAAACTCAAAAGCCACACTACTGCAGAATACCAAAATCCCTTTGGTTGGATGACTGACGTGGAACAGCCACTTAATATCAACATGTATCTAATAGCAACAGCTTTGTATTATGTGGTTACTTCAGGTAATGGAGGCCTGGACCCAGCAGCCTGTGGCTGCTCTTGATTTAGTGCTAGTTTTGAAGTGGAAAAGTTATTTATTTGTCTTCTGATAATTCTGCCAGTTCTTCCTGGAACTAGATGTTGGTAACTGAAACTTCTTACATTACTCTATTGTCACAACTGATTCACCTGGAAAAGGTCTGCCATGAGTTCATAAATCTCAGATGAATTAAGTTATTTCAATATATTCAGTATAAATCCTTAATTTCTGATATTTCTGAGGTGCGCATATGTTTCGCAGAAAGTTCTTTTCTGGAGTTTTCTGCATTTTAAACAGTTATATGCTCCTTTTTTGCTGAATACTTCATCTTAACAATTAATATGAAGCCACATAGCTGTTCTCAACTTTTCAATAACCAAGTGAAAAACTGATGTCAGGCTATAAAAGGATATTTGATTTATTTTATTTTTCTTTGCCTTTAAAAAATATTTTGCATGTTATATTAGAAAAATCTTATATTTCCAAGAAAAATAATTAAATGGGTTAATTTAAAAGCAGTCATTTAGAGTGGAGAAAAGCAGACTACATTTTTCTGAATAATTTTCTCTGCATTTGCATTCTACAGCCAAAAATAAATTGTTAAACTACAATGTGGACCTCCCCCCATCAATATACAGCCTTCCCATTTTCTATGCATATAAGGAGATGCCATAGTCTTAGAACACACACTAATTTAAGACCTGTAAGTAAGGTCTATGTATGTTCAGTAGGTATCAAAAGTTAAAATGTTACAAATTTTTAGGAAAGCCACTAAAAAAATTAGAAAATTGTCCATATATGTGCCCACATGTTGAGTACTGGATGCAGTTCTGCTCCTTGATTTTCAGTAAGGATATTCTAAAACTGAAAATGAAAGAGGAAAGAAGACAAAGGAGAAATTATGACAAGTAATGAGGAATAATATCACTTACAATGAATGACAAAACAAAGATGTACTCTGATTAAGTAAACACTGTTATTGTAACTTTTCCCCAATTTACTAATTTCTCTGGTTTGCTACTTTTGCATGTCTAGGAATTTTATTTTAAAAGGCTAATAATTATATATTGATCATTATATTTACTGCTTGATTGCTCCATACTCACCTGTTTGCCAATGGCAAAATTAATGAAACATATAGTCCAGAAAAATTAGTTTGAAAGGAAAATGTATAATCCAAACCCCAATCCATAAATTTATTTTATTTTATTTACTAAAGATATGAAGAATATATTAGGGCACTGAGACATTATGATAATCATTGATGTCTGACTAGACTTTCAGTCAAATTCTAAATGTACATACAGTTGCATTTATTTATCTTCATCTTTTCTGGAAGCCACCAAGGACTTTGTGCCTTTTGTGGTCTTTGAGAGAAGATTTCACAAAATGTTAAATGTCCATAATGTTAGTTTTTCACATAAAATTTTCCCAGCCTAAATGCTAGGCTCAGGCACTAGAATGGAGTGATCATCTGCTAAACATGAGAAAGAATTATGGAGAAAATTTTGTTCTTCAGTAAAACAAGATCTCTTTCTTTCTTTTCCTATGTATTTATGGCACAGACATACTGCATAATCAAGAGTTTGATGAGTTTCCAGAGATCTAATAAAATATAATACAATTCCATTGCAATCAAAATACCTGAATAAAGTAAAACATTTGAATATTACCCATGAAGTTATCTTCTGTGTTTAAAGTGAAAAATGATCTTAGAATTTCAGAGAGATTTGATTAGTTATGTTTTGGGTTGTTTTGAAAAAGTTTTGTTCACCTGTCATTTTTCAAATTCATGTGATTGTTCACCTGTTTTGCACAATGAAGCATATAATTAGCACTAAAATTGACTTTACAGTGGCTTTTCAGAATTCTCCTGTTCAATACAATGCGGGTAAGGACAACAGAAAAAAAATATCTCTGTGAAGTAAAAATGGAGCAGAAAGATTCATAAGGAAAAGAAACATACCTTTGCTAGGTTGGCTGAAACAATTGGAAGAATTAAGCCGTTTGAAAGACATGGGAGAATTTAATGAAGAGATATGCCATCATATTTTTTCAGGTTTTTTTTCTGTTTTCTTATCCGCTCTTTCATCCTTGCTTAAGGAGATAAAGTTTTCTTCAGAAATGTTGCCCTCCTCACATGCCTTGATAGCTTCTGTTACCACAGCATTACTTCTACAACTAACACCTGTTTCCCAATGCAATGCAGAGAAGCTAGGAAATGAAAGAAACAAAAGCTTATGGTTTGTATACATCCTTTTTTGTCAGAATTGACCTGTTTGTAAGGCTTTCAGAAAGACTTCTTTAACTCATATTCTGAGTCCTACCCTGGGTCTCCTCTTGCACTAACACACTTGTAGCTGTCTTTGGAATTTATCATTTTTAATGTGCCAATTCTTGATGACTCATTAAGTATTGACTTTTATTGTCATGTCTTAATCCCTGGTTTGTACATGTTGGCAACAGAAGCAGATGTGATTAGGAAATTCAAAATTGTATTATTTCCTAAAAGGTGAAAACTCCTGCTGTGTTCTCTGCAACATCTTATTTAATTTTTCACGTGTTGGATATTGAAGTAAACATTGTGGTATAAATAGTAGTGCTTTAATATCACAGAAGATCTGTAACAGTAGTTTAGCAACTGGTAATATAAGAAATCTGAACTGTAGCCTGAACATAGAAAAATCCCACTCTTTCATAAATAATATAAATACATTTTTAGTCAAGGTTGTCTATCAGTAAAATATTTTGAAATGCTACTACTTTTTCTTTCAGTACAATCTTGAAAAAATGTTATAGGATCATAAAGAAAACACAGTATGTTATTATTAGTATTGAGAATTTATTTTAAAGCAGATTATTCTAAGAAGCTTTGTCATGCTCTGTCAATTTTATTCCTGTATCCATAAAACCTTCTCTTGTCTAAACATTTATAGTACTATGAGAAAAGTAATTTTTATTGTTTTTTCTGTATGTCTTAAAAAAACCAATTTTTATTAGAGGCTGGTGGGCCTTTCTTTTTCCTTGCTCATGTTTTAAAAGTATGTATTTTTTGATTTGCCTTTTTTCCTCAGCATCATTTTTAGAATGTAGGTAGGATTTTTTTTCTACAGTATAGCACCTTGGTAAGCAGGAAGCTACACAGTTCTCATATCAGGCCATCTGGTATGAGGGAACTTTATTTATTTTATTGTCTTTATTTAAAAAAGATAACCCTCTGTCCAGTTGTCCAGCCAGCCAGCCAGATCCACTGTCCCCTGAGACTTTATTTTGTGCTATGGATTGACATTTCTAAGGTTCCTATTCTTCACATCAGTAAGAAAGCCTTCAAACACCATTCAGTCACCATATGCCTTGCCAGTGACAGGACTGATAGATTAGTAAGTCAGTTGTGTGGTTTGCAGTTATCTAAAAGGCACAGTGCCTGGTTCTAAATCAAATCACCACACCTCAGTGCTGGCACAGTTAGTAGCTCTACTGTCAATCGCTGCAGGAAGATAATTCTGATATGCTGAGACTGGTGGAGAAACGTGAGTAGTATTGAAGCTTACTTTCTCTTACTTTTTCTTTTATTTTATAAATTGAAACAGCATGGGACTTCCATTACAATGTAATACCACAATCTCAGTTTAATTATACACATAGAATATACATGGGCTATTTTGGAGGGAAAGTTATTAGTCTCCAGTATACTCTTTTCAATATATTTTCAAAGTTCTCTAAATAAAAAGTTAGAAACTCTCAAACGTATCTCTGCAAATACAGGTGAAAAAAAAATCTTATGTCTGACTACACGATATTCGAGCCCATTTCTCAGACTTCTCTTTGAGCCCATTCACTGGGTGGAGGAGAACCTGCTTTCCAAGACATCATCTTCAGAAGATTCACAGCTGGAGGCAGAGATCACAGAATTGTCACATATTTTGCCTAACAGGTAGGTGAAGAGTGCATGGATCTGTTTGCACTCTGGCTTCCCATCCCCATATGGTAAACCTCCATTTCATTCATCTGCTGTTACTGAAACATGAATAATCAATGACTAATGTGGAAACAGGTCTTCTAGATACAGAATCATCCTAGTAAGTAGAAACAAGTTTTCCTCCTTCCAGTGCAGCCAATGATGTGAGCAGAACAGCAAGCATCTCTTACTCTTCAGCTAAAACACATCCCATAAAACAAGTCACTTGTAAATGAAACAAATAATTATTTACGACCAGTAGAGGCAGGTAATTTCTCTAACACATACACATTCACTGACAATTTTGTTGCTGTATAAAGTAGTACAGCAAAATGACAAATCAGCCAGCTACTACAGTATGGCCATACATTGAGAAAACTGCCACAGAGTTTCCAACTCATAGCTTATCCAATCTAATATGCCATTTCCAGAGGTTAGTACTAAAAGCTGAATAGGAAGACATAACCAATGATGCATGAACATATGCCCCTACATACATTTCTTTCAAAATCTAATAAACTTGAATATAAACCTTTAGGCATAAGAGTTGATATTTTTGAATGTTCTACTTTTAGATTTTGCATCTCAGTGTAATCTAGTCATCCATTGAGTGTACCCTTTGGGAGATAGATAAGGATCTTATCAATCACAAACTCCCTGGCAAACCTGTATTGTGAAAAATAAAACAAGCAAACAAAACTCTTGTGTTTTGCATGGCTTTTCTTTAATTTTCATACTTCTGTTTAATTCAATTGTCTTAGAATATATAGATATGTAAGAAACTACTATACTGAACTTTCTTTTCCTAAGATTGCTCAATGCCTTTTCTTTTTTTTGTCCCCACCTATGGGATGGAACAATATTTTTTTGAAAACAATCATTAATTCTAATTTCAGCATTGTCTTTGAAGTAAGTACATTGTCACTAACACTGCAGTGAATATGTAGCAATATCATATCTTCATAACTATTAAATTGAAACTCATATTGTAAAGGACACCTTAATAATATAATCTATAAAACCTATATCTACAGCATATAAATTCAGATGTTTTTTCAGTCGCTGGAGATCTCTGCATATAGTTCCATATCCACTCAGTATAGTGCATATAGAGTACTCTTGTTTGAACTAAAGGCTATCTGAAACTCACTAACTTTTCTTGCAGAACTTTTTACAAAACACTTTTATAATATGCCTAAGAATCTGGGCATCAGCCATGTCAAACCTGTAGTCAGCCCCAAATAACTGGTTCTTTTTGAGGAATATCTCAGTTAAAAGACATTTTTTGCAAATATATTAACATAGTTTTGTTCTAATCTATACTTTGATAAAAAAATCTAAGGCTTGCTGAAGAAATGCAGGTAGCTACCAAAGAAGAGCTCTTGATGTATTAAGAAACTTTTGATTAGGCAGTTAGGTTAAGGAGACTGCTAATACAACAAAGACACATCGATTTATCACTGGCAGGGGAAGAACACTGATTCCCCGGAAGACAAGAATGGACTGAGTTTCGAGGACAAAATATTTAATAGAGTTAGAGTTTGGAAGATTTTCAAGACAAACCTGGCAATAAAGCCCAACAAGATTTTCTAAAAAACAAAAGAGGTTATGTTCAAAGCCTGAACGCCATGTTTAACACTTTGTAAATGAAGAATCTTTTCCACAGGCAAAGAATAAAATCTGTGAGTGAAATATGTATGTCAAGTCAAGTATAAAGATGAACAAATTCTTGAGTTTAAAGTGGATCAGGAAACTGAAATACAAGGTGTTCAGACTGTTATAATTGCTGCTTTTTAGGCAAAAAGAGTAGAATAGAACATTAAATACTGATATTCCCATGAAAGCTAAATCTGTGCATTGGCCAAAGTCTGAAGTGATGGATAAATAAATATTGGTTTCTTGATCACTGGGGTCTAGGAATTAAAATTAATCTTGATCCTCCCAATAAGCTGTCCCCAAAAGAATAAGTTCTCAAGCTTTGTCTTCGCTTGCAAAATGTCATAAGCGTTAGCAGAGTCTGTAACACATCATTTAATATGTTTTAAGATCTTATGAAATAGAAAATGAAATGCTGCAGGTATACCGTGTTCAAAAGGCTTGACCCCATCACACTTACAGTAAATCAAGAGGAATGCCCTTCAAATTATCAGCTGAATTGGTTTTAAGCAATATGAGATCAGAGTCATGTCTCTATTATTAAAAGAGAAACTTTTTTTTACACTACACGATACTGGAACAAATTCAGCAATTACCACATCTCAGTGCAGTAGGAAAGAGAGAGGTAAATTAGACACTGGTTAAAATAGAATGTCACAGAAGACATGAAAATATATCCTGAAGCAGGTAGAAGAAAAGAAAATAAGAAGTTGATAAAGCAACACAAAAGATGGATTATGAGGAAAAAGAAGTCTCAGTAGAGACATATGAAAGAAAATATTGAAAGAGAGGGATGAATATCCTCTCTTGGATGGATGTGATATAAAATTAATATCAAATTGGCCTGAGGTCAGATCTAAGCATCAAAGCAGGTGTTCATTATCCACCCACAGAGTCTGAAAATTTATCATCAAGGGCATCTGGTGTAGACTCTCCCTGCTACAACTGGTCTGTGATCAAATGGTTTGCTAGCTCCAAGAGCATGGCAGAGTCTTTCATCTCCATCTCATGTCATGCTGCTTCTTGTCTTTGCATCAAAGGATGTCATGCCCAAACATCCAACTTCTTACATCTTTCTAGTACCACGAATGTCCCTGATAAAATAAAAGGATAGATAAAAATAATACTAAAATCTTTCCTGTGACAATATTACCTGGGGTAATGGCATACTAGGAAAATTCAAAGCACTCTACTGGCATGATTAGAAAGAGGAGAGTGACTGGGGAGAAGAGAGTCTCAAAAATTATATGGAGAGCAGCACTAGAAAATCTTTAGTCTTCAGAGAGAAGAGGCAGAGGGAAGGGAAAAGGAAAGCTCTGCTTGTTCTGAATTTTAGAAAATTACTCAATTTTCTGCATATGAGAATTCAGCAGTTATTGATTCATTGACTACACATGAGGAACTCAAAAAACACAAAATGCTGAGCTTATGAAATGGAAGCATAAAAAAATCTAATGATCCT